TCATACTCATCAAGGAATTAGATTAACTTCTCAATATTAACATTATACTATAAACATATAAAAAGAAATGTACAAATAATGTGTGCAGGAATATGCCCAACAATCATGGGCAGATGTTAGTTAGTAGATGTAATGGATGTTTGATATGTTGCTGCTGACAAACTCACCAGAGTGTTGGTCGGACTCTGTGCCTCCAGAGTGGAAGCTGCTCCAGGATGCTGAGTGGCTGATGGTGGGATTGTTGTGGACACGCCTGTCGGCTCCAGAGGAGCTGGAGGCCTGACTGTCCAGCAGGGGCAGGAACATACAGTTGTCCTGATGACATGATCCTGCAAAACAAAAATTTCAGACACACGACATGTTCACAAGAGACAAAGTGGTGATCATAGTGAGAGTCGACAGTGCTGATATCATGTTAAAGTATCTTTATTGTTACATTGAATCAAATCATAATACAATCTGCTTATAGTTATCAGAGGATAGATGTAATAGCTTGTTTGTTCCGATCTGTAAATTTAGTAGGTGGTCACAGCGGTCCTGCTCCCTACCTATCCCTCTCAAGTTACTGCCCTCATACATTTTTAACACTTCTCTTACCCCTCTGTTACTTGACACCAATGGGTAACAATACGATCTCTGGCTTTCCAAAAGCAGCTTTGAAATTCGTCTGACTGGGTTAGAGTTTTATTTAAAACCAGTTAACTGAGAGAAATGTGTAATAACAACACACATAATCTTACTAACACACTTGTACTGTTGTTGTAAATATGAAGACCTAAATGATAAAGTAATCCTCCTTATTAGTAATGCTCCTCTGACAATGTGGAGGTATATAAAGGGAATATCAACATAACAAGAAGAAAATGGCCTTAATGCATGATACAAATACCTTTTTGTCATTTCTGTACATATCCATTGAGCCATTATGTTGTAATAATTGCTTGATTACATAATATTGAGGCTGCCATTCTGAATCCCAAACACAGGTCACTGGCAGGGTTAACAGAGTTAGCTTACAATAGTACATTTTAATTGGTTTACAATGGAAAAATAACTTCTACAGTCAGATGCTGATGTGTGCTCCCTCCCTCATGTGTACATTCAGCTTCATTAAGACCAACAGGAAGAGCTGCGGGGCTACACTCACAACATGACTCACAAACATTCAGAGGTACTTCACATCCCAGAAATGATTCTCCGCAGGTTCAACAGCAACATCTCCCTTCAGCATTTCTTCTTGATGGAGAAGACAACACACGGCTGCCAGACATGCTGAGTATTTTATTGAAATGCTACATTTTGAATGTGCACAGTTTAGTTTATGACAGTAGTATATATTATATACATTATTATTATTTATATTATTATATATATTATGTGTAACGCAAACATGCAAGAATGGAGGGTTTCCTAATGCTGTTGTCAGTTCAGTGTACGTAAAATTACTTAGTCAACTTTCTGTGATGCTTCACTGACAAACACCATTAACAGAGATCTTCGCAGGTGAAGGTCAATGAAGTAATAGTGACATGGAAATTGCTGTGTCTAGGTTACCAGAGCTCTGGACAATCTCTCCCCCTGAAATGTGCTTAGTCCATTACAGCTATGTAGTCTAAGTGCAGTAATATGCTGTCCTAAAGATTTCCAAACTCTATAGACACTAGGTAGATCGATTGATGAGCAGGTACTTCCTGCACGTACTTCCTGGCACATTGATTATTTATTTAAACAAATACATTTCAAAGCCCTGGTCACGAAATTCCTCTCTCAAGAAACCATGACTCTGTAATGAGATGTTGAGGAAAGTGTGACTCCATTACCCATGTAATTTATCCAAGCATATACAACAAGCACCATGGTCAGAATGGCTGCCAAATACTATTACCATGACAATAAATGTCACAAACACATCCTGGGCTTATTGATAAGCGTAGGGGATTTCATAATACAATAAATGTATGCCTATAAACACTTTACAATATGGAAATGTCAGCAGCTGATGAAGACAATGTAACTTTGTTTGAGTGCAGCCAGTTCTCCGGCAACTTCTTAATTGAATAAAAGGGGCATCAGTGTTTATCTCTTTAATACATATAAGCTAAAGGGGGTACATCCAGTCTGGAGGGCAGTTATACTGCAGCATTTCCATTACATGATGGGCACTCCAACCTGGAGTGTCTTACATCTCTCAAACAGCTTACATTAGTCAACAATGATTACTTAAGGCAACATAAATCATAACGATCTTGCCTTCTTCTCTAATCCAGTGTGTGGAAATCAAAATTTGGGTCCTTTAGATGAAAAGAAATGTTGAGATATGCCAAACTGCCTTAAGAAGCAAACATTAAAATGATGTAAAAAGTATCTTTACTTCCAGCAGACTGCTACAGATTCTCCCCAAAACGCCACAGAGGGCTTTGACTGACAGGAAAGTGAAACTTGTGGTGCTTATTTAGTAAAACTGTATCTTCTGTAAGCAGAAGAGGAGAGTGAATATTGCTTTCCTAAAGAAGTCACTAATGCAATACACAACTTCCTTTATGTTGTAATGTTTTCATTAAATTCACGAATAGTGAGAAAGTAGAAGAGGATTAAAATCAGATTTTCACAAATGTCTTCGCAGGGAGCTTCCTTCACACAACTGCTGTGCTAGTCCGAGGAGATCTAAACCAGATTCAAACGCTTGATGATTTATACTATGGTAGACACTTCACCCAGCTTCCAGCAGAGCCACCACGTCACAGTTTGCCCCCATGTCCCTCTCTGAGTCTCTGCACACCACTGAACATTATCCACATGGCTCAACAAAGATGAAAACACTGTCCTATTAGCTATCAGGACATAACCACAGTTTCTGCCATTTTCATCTTTGCCTGGGGCAGTGATGATTTAGAAAAGCTAATAAAAGCCGCAGCATTCATGCATTACAGAGCTCATTAAACTGAATAATGCTGGGCATGTTTGCTGGATTTCCCTAGAAAACTGTCACGCTCTCCTTTCTCCAGTCTGTGGCTGACCACAGACTACACAGAGAATACTGTGAGTCCTGTGCAAACATGTCAGTAACAAAATGTACCCCACACAAAGTGATCAGTGCGATTTTAAATCTATTTAATATGAAGGCACAACCACTTAAAATGAAATTAAAATGTCATGCAGTCCTGTGTGCCGTTCTTAAGAAACAATTATTGACTAATGTAGCCTCATTGACTGCCTGTTCATTTATTCATTAAATATCTTCATAAATAAATCAGTCGTAAAGGATCATTTTACATCAAGTAGATAAATATTGTGTTTTATACTGTACTGAAATCTTCTGCACTCCTCATTTACATGTAGCTTTTATATTATTTTACATTACTGTTTAAGTTTTATAAATAACATATGCATTAGAATGGACAATTGTTAACTAAAAGTGTACTTATGTAGTAGTAGTAGTCCAATAATGTCTGCTAGGTGCATATCACAAACAAAGATGGTTTCATTGAAGTTGCAGGGCAGAAGGTGTGTACAACATGTTACATTAACAGGTTGAACAGCAGTTGAATATTGTTTTTTAAATAAACTGATTGCATAAACACTTCATAACAAACTACAACATTAGTAAAGTAAATAACACAATATATCCAAATAACAGATCAAATTCTGTATTCAGTAGCTACTGAATCAATTTAGTTGCAGCGTTACCATCATCCCTAGTCAACTATAACTCAGTGTGCCTCCTTCAAAAGTGAGTTAAACCTACCTGAGGAGCTGCCAAGAGCGTGCGACACCTTGACTTCCATTGCATGTATTGACCCTTTAGTACAAATCCCCCATCTATAAGTTTCTGGGTGACAACTTCTGAGTGACCGAACGACAAAAGCTGTGTAATCTCATGAGCCTGCCATTCCCACAGTGCAGCACTTTGAGTTGTGAAGTAGACCAAGCAGTGCAGCGGGGCAAGATGGATGGGTGGAGTTTATAGTGTTGTCGGGTGAAACGGTGTACAACATTAAACTCTCAGAGTATTGATTGTAGAATATTGATTGGACGGAACTGCTGTATGGAGAATCACTCTCTTTACATGGAGCTTTCTCATTAGTGACTGACAAATTATAAGAGAACAGAGTCTGATGTCCACTCTCTCAAAAGTAGGTTTGACTTAAATTTGATTACTTATATTGGCGTACTCTGCTATTATGTAGGTTAATGACACTTGTGACTCTTCGCCTGAATTGGTTATTCTGTATTTTTATATTGTAATGTTATTGGCTGGAAGTCCCCATAGCAAGTTTTCTTCCGTTATGCCCCGTTTACCTTGAATCTATCCAATTATAGGAATCCAGGACATGTCTTCAACCGGCTATATTATGACCCTCTCTGAATTTATTATACAATTTGTGAGTGAATAGCACTCCTCAGTACGCACTGTAAAACCTGATTAAAAAGTTCACCTCAATCTGTCTAAGGAAAATGATCTCCTTAAACAGTTTAAATTTATTAACTCCAACAATTTAAGCATGAAAAAAATTATTTGATCTGAGTACAAGTAAGTAATTTATTGTTAGGATAAGGTAATTAACAATTAAGTTAATTGTACTTAAAACTAGTAAGTATATTACACTCATATGCAACACTTCTCCAAACTCATTTAAAATGTGTTAACAGAATTTATCTGAATAAAGTAAGACTAACCTAAATGCATATTCTTTATACAAATGTTACCACCATTTACTCTGTTTTAGTACATTACCTGTCAAAACAGCTAAAAAATAATAATATTTAAAATTAATTGATTATCAAAGTGGTAGCTAATTAATTTTGGAGCTTACATTTCTGTAAGCCCCAGAACAAGCTGGGATTATATCACCAATACTTAAAATAATGCACAAATTTAAGTGCACTCAAAACAATTTAT